TAGTGTGCTGATCTCATCATCCAGTTAGAATGCGTATGATGCTTGTCCTTGAGTTATGCATATACCCGTCATCCAATTTATTCGCTTTAGTGAGCATTCAGGCTTTATTAAGCGAAAACACCTTGTGTGGATCGTTTTATCGACCTTCGTCGGTAACATCTTTTCAGTTCTGTTTATTCAATATTCCCAGCAGCAGCTCCTGTGTGATGCGTAAAGATGCCTGCCAAATCCTAAATAAGTTGATCAGGTAGTAAGCGCAGATTCTTCCGTTTCCTGACAAGATTTGATATTAAGTTCAGTAATCGTAGTACAAAGTGGCAGAAAGCAAATTCTCTGAAGATATTCAAATAGCTGCAGACTACACCCAACAACTGACGACCACACACCTCCCAGGGTACCGATAAGAATCGACAAAATTTATTGGTCATCTTTTGCTATCGGTACGGCTGCTTGATTTGAATTCAAAAGGAGCCATAAGTGATCAGAAACATCTCGTGTTTGGATCTTAGGATTAGTCAACAACCCGATGGCTATTAACATATTTTGACTGAAAAAAATGTCTGAGTTCAGGACAAAACAAAGATGTAAATAAAACCTTACCGAATTCCTTGCTAACAGTATTCTTTCCATGAATGTGGTGAGTGAACCAGTGGTTCAGTCGACGTGGATTAATCCAGTTTGTAGGTTACTATTGCTAGAAGCGTTCACCTACGGCAGAAATTACCGTGAGCACGTCCTAGAAAACTCCCCAAAACTGAACTTGTGGGTGGTAGATTTGAAGTTCACCTCAGGGCTTCAGTCATCGAATGTAGTGGGTCCATTTTGAAAAATCGAGAAGCACTGAACAACGGCTACATTCCTCTCCGAAATCATCAGCATTATCTCAAACGTTTGGATGAGTATTGAAACCCGCGGCATTGTGGTTAAGCTCTGAACCGCGTGCCCACGAGCGGCTTGATTAAAGTGCTATTGGAGTGTGTCTCTACCAGGCCTCAGACACAGCTCACGTCACGTGATTCGGTGTTGACTGGCTTCTGGAGTAACGCGTCCGAATAGAATGCCCACCGCTACACGTATTCTTTGTGTGACCACCAGCATATCGCAAGCATTGAAAGAATCCCCAAGTTTTAGTAGATATTTCATCCTGCTAGTCACCACTCGAGGAGCCAGTAGAAATGGGAACACAAGATGTCAACTAGACGACCAAAAGTTTGTGACGCTGTGTCCTATCGAACTGCACCTTAATTCCACTGCGGGTTAGCCATTCGTGATCAAGAACGCATCCTCCAAATACTAAACGGCAGGTGTAGATTTGAATCTTTTCGAAGATCTGTGAAGAATGTAATACCGATTTCCAACAAAGAGCTAGCAGCTAAACAGTGCCTTCTGGTTTGCAAGCATATATCTACTTCAAATTTTTAGTCCATTTGTTTCAGTAAGGATTGTGCATTCACCTAGACTACAATTATGAAGGCAGGCAATCAGATAATGAAACTCTCGTCATTAGACTACCCCACACCATCCACGGCTGATGAACCTGAAAATCTTGAAGGCTTCAAAGGACCTCCAAAGGACGCCTTTATTTCATTCTCTATGACAGTTTGCTCATAATGCTTGCTCCGAAGTAAGGATTATCATGCATTACAACCATTTGACGTGTTCTGATAACACTGGGAAAGCGTCCAACATATAAACGCCTCAATAGTTCCGTCAATGAGTCCGTGTGACGGTATCATGGCCTGGAGCTGTCACCTTACCGTCAGGGTTGGGTTCCTGTTCTACAGTAATCCAGCGGGTTATACCGTTTGGAACACAGCTCCTTAAGGTTCAACCATGCTAGGGAGGCCAGAGAGTAGTCCGACGAAGAAGAGCGAGACTCTATACTGCCAGGAATCGTATTACAAGGTAGTTTGGAGATAAAGTCATACTGTCCTCTCGATAGGAGTGTGAGGAAAGAAAGGTGTTCCCCCCAGATGATCAACTTGACAAACTCAGGAGCAGCGACGCTAACTTCTTCCGTAAAAGGATGAATAAGAAAAAGTCGGCACTCAAAGCGCACACTTCGATTGTCCACATCACTGTATTGTGGGTCAGAATTTCGAGTCAAAAGACTCAAGGTGGCCCCCCTAAACCAGACCTTCTTCTTCGACCTAGACATCCGAAAAGTATCGTTCGCTCTTGCTAATCTTTGTTCACCGACCCACCTCCATACTATCTACTCACCCGTGGAGTGATGCAGTGTGATCAACTCTCTAAACCATCCCTGAAAAATAAACCAAATAAGCAATAACCTCAAAATCTGATCCAGCTTGCAGCCTTCAAGGTGTGTACTCAGTGTCAAATTGGGCAACAGACATTTCTTACTGAAACCTTGCTTTCCCTCTCTGTCGATGTGATTTGTCTCCAAAACACGCATTCAAGGCCGTGCATCTCAAGTTGATCAGGAGAAACTCAGATGTTCAACATTTCACTCTTCGGATTTCCGGTGATCCTGACGCAATGGTCCGTGGTATCTACAGTGTGGAAGTTGCACTCAGCCCCAAGGCTGAAAGATCCTTACTGTACTGGATCCCAGTGTGTTGTGCGGTTGTCCAACACAGTTAAGATCAATACAGTTCAATGAAGTGAACGGTGTTCATTCGTTTTAGCATACGCCCTGACAGACTGCAGTTCTGAGGCTGACAGGGACAGGTTTTATCGAGACTTGCCACAACCGTTTTGGTCAGCAAGAAAGACGGACATAGTAATTCTGGCGAGTGATATGAATGCCGAAGTTCGATGACCAAGTCTGGAAGTAGCACAAGTGGGTGGTAGATTTGGAGTCGATTCTCAGCGTACAGATAATAGGGAGTGAATGCTTCAGTTGTCTGCTGATCATCGTCCATTCCTGGTCAGTGCAAAATTCCAACACAGGCGCTTCCGTCGACCTACGTGAACTGCCAAAAGAAAGTTGTGGACTCAGTTGGACCATGTGGCTATTAGTTACCTTTTCGGGTACGCAACTTGACTTTGATCATGGCACTGTGTGGGCCTGGTTATTACCTCGCTTTTCTTCAGGATTAGAAGTGCGAAAGCTGAGCAGTTCCACTCGCTTTCGACAAGTTTCAGTAGCTAGAGAGTATCGAGCTGACCTGACTGGAAAGTTACTGGAAACACACAATGATCCAGATGGCGAAGACTGTTGGAAGGCTGAATGGAACCGGGCTGTAGAAGCTATGCTCTCAGCTTTCAGAACGAATTATCCAAGCCATCTGACTCGACCAAATGAGCACTTGATATCCTCGAGGTCAGCAGATCTTATTTCTGCCCAAAAGGCCATACCAGCAACTAGCGCCTGTGATTGAGTACGCAGAACCCTAAAAAACGGACAGTCAGAAGCTTGAAGGATGACAGAGGACGCAGGCGGATTGCAAAGGCCCAGGAGATGGAGAAGACTTTCGTTTCAGGTAAAAGCCTCGCCAAATTTCGGCTTATTCGATCAACCGGATAAAAGAAGGCAGGCGTCAGTGAAGTGACAAAAAAAACATAAGGGTAATTTAGTCCCTCAATCACCATATTGAGTGATGGTCTGAGCACTTCACCGAACGCTTCAGCTGGTCTCCTTCATCACAATAGCTGGAAGAACCGCGTGAGCCTGAATGGAATGTCCAAACAAGCCCACCATGAACAACAGAAGTCCAGAGTGAGATATCAATCTTCATGTACAACAAGGCCCCTGGCACGGATGGTCTGTAACCGAAGTATACAAAGGTAACGAGATCATGTTGGACGGTCCGCATACAGCAGAATATTTGGAACCAAAACCGAATGCCAGCCCAATGCAACTCCTAGATCTTCAGGTCTCCAAAAATGGCACAAGAACACCATGCGAAAATCATCGTGGCAGCAGCCTGGTACCTGTCAAATTGAAAGTGCTTCTAGCATTATTATCGGGAGAGAAAACTTCGTACGAATCAAGCCGGCTGAAGATGCACCGACGATAGCTTTACCTCGTAACTAATTCTTGAACAGCACAACCACTTCAAACACCTCACACTGCTTGTTTCTTTTGAACTGAACTCTGCTCTTGATTCTGTTGATCGTGGAAATGGTAGTATCTGATCAAAGGAGCCCATTCCAAATTTATTTTCGTTATCAGAGCACTGCACGCGGACTCATGTGGGTGGGTACGGGTAGATTGCAAGCTTTGACCGGAATTCAAGACGTCCAGTGGTGTGTAATAAAGCTGTCCCCTGATCTTTCCTTTTCAGCTTTGTTATTGATGTGCTGAGTGGAAGCGACCGAGAGATGGCGCGGTGGGTGTAAATTGAAACTCACTAACGTCCGCGTGGACACCCATAGCATCTTGGTTGCACAGGTCCGACAAACGGGGGTGTCCGTCATGAAGCAAGAAACCCAATGAACCTTGGTCAGGAAAAAAACACTATCGCGCTAACCTGTGTAAACTAGCCAGCCACCTACTCATAACAGAAACCTCGAAGCTCAACAGAGATCCGTGAGTTATATTCCGGTACATTTAGTCAAAAATGCTCAGTCCAACCAAAGACAGTTTGGTGCGGAGCCTGTAAGGCAAACTCCGTCCACCCGTCTAGCATACGGGAACAGCTGATGCCGTAAAAGAGTTAGAAATTCAGGTAATTTTGTAGGCCTTCTCTAACAGTGTATTTCACATTACTAGATGATGTGACATCATCGAGCCCTTGTTCTCCTAAGGAAAATTAAATAACGGAGCCAGTACGCGCTTTCTCCTACTGTTAGCACACTGCATAACCCGAAGTACTTGGGGATCACAAATGGGGTCTTCTTGAACGGAAAATGGTTCAAATGGTTTGGCTGATTAAGTTACAAATGGCTATAACAGTTGGGTTGGAAAAATCCTGGCCTACGAGGTCGAATTCCGTTGGAATTTAACGGTGTTTGCAATTGGCTAGAGAGGAGTAATTTGTTACGAGTCTTGATGGAATCGCAATGTGACTGCTGGATGAATAAACGAAAGTAAAGGGTACCTTACTTTATTTCACGATTTGTTAAAACCAAGGAATGGTAAAATTATGGACGAATAGAGCATCGTTTAACATGAAATTCAAATCCGATGGGATATTATCAACACCCAACGGTTCGTGAAGACAGGAAGTCGAGGTTGTGGTGTAAATACAAGAATATAATATACAAAATCATGAAACTGTGAGCGCATGGATGTCGAACATACACTGGTCAGCTATCGACAAGGAGCAAAAAGTCGACTTAAGTACAGCAAAAACCCGTAGAAATAGCCCGATTCAAGCAGGAAGCATCTTTGGAAACGATGAAAAATGCGAACTGGAAAGCAGGCATTGTTACGATGCAACCTCATAGGATTTGATCAAACGCTCAACCATACCGTCCTTCTCCACTAGATACAACATATCGGAAAGCGTTTGCTCCACTGCTGCACTTTCACGTCTGTCCGACATCTGAAAACAGCAGAAACATTAATGTTATTCAGAGACGTTTATCCCTAGAGCATTGAGTCACAAGCAACTGGACTATAACGTTGTACCTTTCACAGATTTATGGGTGGGTAAACACGACTACTTCAGAAAAATGGCGGCAACCATATTCTCTAGCCGTATCGTCCTTTTGTTTTGTTTTCCGTTCCTGGAAACATGGAAACACTCACAAAACAGTCTGAAGATTATGCTATGGGACAAGCTTTCTACGCGAAAATCAAAGCTATCTTGACAAACAGATCGCAATAAGCTCCACTATTCACGCAAATTTTTTCTCTTGGGGAACGTTTCTCGTGGAATGGACAACCCTGCGTTTGAAGAAGGAAAAGTCAGTGACTCGCTTGATGAGCAGAGTAAATGTACTCGAAAAAACCAAGCACAGTATATGTGTGCGTATAGAAAGTGGATTACAAACAGGGATCATTCCACGAAAGCTCTTTGAGCACTGTGTTCTGTGTATGGCAACATTCTGTTCCATTTCATTTGCCTATTTACATCTGACTGATAACTTTCATTTCCATTGATCAATCGTCTTGCAACATAAAAGTCCACAAAGAGGATTCAACAGCTTTTTTGAATTCGGCCACATATCCGAGAAATCAGCAAAAAAAGATGACCTCCACATAACAGTCCTAAAGCAGCCGGCAGGCTGTTACAGGCAAAACACACTTTACAGTTTTCTATAGAGGAGAATGTCGGTAGCTCAGGTAGCGTAGATGGTCGTTGGCTTGTTCGCTGA